CTCCGTGCACGCTGGCATGATCGGAAGGGTGCTCGGCACACACCGAGTGCCCGTAAGTACCAGCCTCTCTGTTTATTCCCCGCCGACACCCGTTGGATTCTGCCCTTAATTCAGCATCTCCCGCCATAGTGGTATGTCCACCAGTGAGCTCTTTCCAGACTCAGGCCCCTTGTCCTTCCTCACTGTCCCCCTCCAGGTCTTGCTGGCACACAGTAGGAGACTGAGACCTACTAACTGAATAAATGCAGACTGGGAAGTGCTCAGGAACGCTCATCTCTATAGAGCGACGCCGTGACACCCAAAGCGTGAGTGATGGGACCTTTCCCTGAGGCTCCCTCTGCGGAGGTTGCTGGGGCAGCCCAGCTTGGCCCCGACCCAGCTTCCAGCATCTCGCTCCCAGCTGCGTGAACCATGTCGGGGGCCCTGGCCCCCTTCCAGACGCCAGGCCGGACAGGGTTTCCAATGCGCGCTCCGCTCTGGCCCTGGGAAGGCCTGGAATCAATGGAGCCAAAGGGGAAACTGAACATGAGCCGACTGAGTCTCACTCAGCCCTGCGGGCTGCGGATGGATTTAGGAGGGGTAAACATTTTCCCCTGGATGCCTGGCTGGGGAAGGAAAGAAAATAAAAGCAAGGATCTCAGTGGATGTGGGAAGTTTTGTGGTTTGGTCCAAAATCAGAAGCAACAGTGGGAATGAAGCTCATGTCCCATGGCCAACAACTCAGACTTTTAAAATGAGAACTCTTCATTTGTCAGTTGCTTGATGAGCAAAGAGGTTTCACGGTGCTGAGGGACTGGAGACGGGAGGAGCACTATTGGATCTCGCCAAGTCGTGAGATTTCAGGGTCTTTCTCGCGAGCACGTGCGCCCTGAAGATAACGGGTCAGTTAAAGAAGCGGGAGGGTGCAACACAAGGCGTCTGAGAGCAGAAGAAGAGCCATCTGGCTGGGAGAGCGCACTGGTGGTCGTGCCTGCTGTGAAGTGAGCCACCCCGAGTGTTCTTGAGCATTTCGCTCTCCGGCGTTTACTTAAGAAGTAGGTCTTAGTCACCTACTGTGTGCAAGCAAGACTGGGAGGGAGACAGTGGGAAGGACCTGAACCACCACCAGCCACTCCTTTATGGTTCTGCGGGTCAGCAGCCTGAGCCGGGCTCAGCTGGGCGGTTCTCCCTAAGGTTGCTTCTTTCCACCTCTGTGGTCAGTGCAGGTCAGTGGGGTGGCTTTGCTTCCAGAGGTGGGCTGGCCACTAGCTGGTAGTGGGCACAGTTGGGTATGTATTTCTCAGTATGCAGCAGGCTGGCCTAGGCTCATTTAGGTGGTGGTGGCAGGATTCTTGGGGGAGAAGGTAAGAGGGAGAGAGAGAGAATGCAATGTCTCTTAAGACCTATTCTCAGAACTGGAATAACGTTGCTCGGGACATATTTTACTGGCTAAAGCAACTCCCAAGGCCAACCTAGATTCAGTAACACAGTCTGTGAAATACATTCCTCTCCGAGGAAAACAGCTGCCTAGTCGCAGGGCAAAGGAGGCATGGCTATGGGGAGAAGTGAACAGTTGGGCCGTTTCACAGAAGAGCACAGGCCGGGACGGCTGATCAGCCAGCAGTGGTTGGGGCCCTGGCCAGTGGGGCTCACTCAGCTGGTTGGAGCAAGGACTACCTGTAAATGCAAAGGTGGTGAGTTTGATTCCCCGTCAGGGCTCACGCCCAGGTTGTGGGTTGGGGCACATTCGAGACGGCGACCAATTGATGTTTCTCCCTCATCAATGTTTCCCACCCCCTCTGTTCCTCTGTAAGTGCAATGAAAAAAACCGTGTCCTTGGGTGAGGATGAAAAGTCAGCAGTGGTCAGGGGAGTGATGCAGATGAGGAAGGCGCGTGCCGAGAAGGAGCACTGCTGAGGATTTGGGAAGCTGGGCATTTCATTTCCCGGCCGCCCTTTGGGGCAGAGGAAGTCCATATAAGGCTGAAGAATAGGCCCATGTGTATGGAATAGAGAATGGGGTGAGGTCTGGATTCTGATCCACTGCTGACTAGACCTGTGTCTTTGAGGCGGGTGGTCAGTGAGTCCCCCTTAGCCTCAATGTTCTCATCTGTAAAATGGGATCACAGCTTCCATGTCATAGAGTTCAGAGGGGATCAAAGAGGCGATTGGTCTGGCATAGGGTAGGCACTGGAAAAACAGCTGCGTAGTGAGTAATGTATAACATCAATCAAGCAGCACGTAGCAGCACCTAGGGTTAAAGACAATGGATAATAATGAATAATTAGACTCTCCCTAGCAAATGAGCCTGGAATTGCTTACCCTGGAAGGCGGAGGGGCGCCCCAGGTCTGTGCCCGCAATAGCCGGCATCTTCATGATGCAGACACGGCCAGCAGGACTGGCCACTGGCCACCTAAGGCCTCCTGGGCCTCAGATGTCTTCCAGGGTTCTGTTGGGTCTGGGACTTCTGTTCTTCAAAGGGAATCCCAGCAAATGCCCACTGAGGTCTGGGTAACACGTTCAGCCCTGGGGCTGATCTTGGCCTTGCACAAAAGTCCAGGGGCAGTGAGGACAGGTCTTACTGAGGAGGCCAAGTAGCCTCTTAAGGGGCTCAAGAAAACCTCTCTGGCTTTGTCCTTCAGTACCCTCCCCCACCTAGGCCAGTATTTCCGGGCAGGAAGAGGTCGGGACAGCGAGCAGAGAGTTGTGGAGAGTTCCAGACCAGTGATTCTGAACATATTCTATAGCTGTGCTTCCAGCATGGTAGCCTCTAGCTACATGTGGCTCTTGAGCACTGGAAATGCAGCTAGTATACCCAAGAAACGTAATCTTTTATTATAGGTAATTATTTATAGAACTGCTTGTGGCTAGAGATGATCACATTGCACAGTACAGTTCTTCAATAGACGGGTGAGCCTGTGAAGGTGCCGAGCCACGTGACCTGATGGCCTGACGGGGTTGGGGACGCGATCTCGGTGCTGTCTGGGAGCAGGGGGCGGGGCTGGGGGCGGTCCCCCGAGTAGCCAGGCCTTCGCGGCGGAGCTCCGGAGGCTGTTGCCTGGTTTCTTCCTGTTTCCAAGTGGGGCTGAGAAAAGAGAAAAGCTGTGACTCTGACAAAATCCAAAATCTAGTCTGGATTTAGCCCCTGTACCCCTTGCTCTGTCCTAGGCAGCCACTTGTAGCTCCCAGAAAGACTCTGTGTATGTCGTCATCCTTTCTCGCGCCAATGAAAACCAGAGCTCAGCTGTCCGGTTCAGAAGAAAGGAGGGGTCCTCACAAGCAGGAGAGGAGGCTACTCCCCACTCCGGTGGTTGCTTTTGAACCCAAGGGGCCACGTGGTCCCATGGGACTTTTGAGGACACACATGCACGCACACACACGCACCTATATGCACATGTGGTTTGCTTATGAAGGTTGCTTTTGGAGACTCGGGACAAGATGCTCTCCCTGGTCTGGAAAAACCGGAGGTTTTGCTTCTGCTTTAATTGGGTTCAAAAAGATGCCAAGCCAAATCCGTCTCCCGGTTTGCTCTTGAAACTCACCCTAGAATTTATTTCAGGACCTTCCTCAAGCCCCAGCAGAACGCTGCTTCTGGAACTGATGGCGGATTTTCCCCCATTGCCTTTGCACTCCAGCAGCAATGCGTGGCCCGCACCAATCACAGCCTTTGCGGGAAAGCAGGTGAGAAAGGCTGCTCTCTGCCCACCTCGCCGGTCTCTCAGCCCCCTGGTATTTCTGAAAGTCAGGGCTCCATCACAGGCGAACGTTCTACTCTCCTTGAAAGGATACACGCTTTCCGGATCCTTCGATTAACCGACCGCGGTGGATACCAGCGGCCCCCGCACAGTCTCTTGGCGGTGGCCCGAACGAGATTAGTTTTCTGCGTTTGCCATAATTTACAAGGCTCACATAACCATGTAACGACTTGGTGATTACATGGCAAATATCGTATAAATACATAGTAATTACAAGTTCATGCAGATTACTTGCCATATACATTTGAAGTTACCGAGTAGTTCAAAGATTAATTATCCTGTAACTGGCAGTATTTAAATCATTTTTTTTCCCCCTCGTACACGAATACGTTGAGGCCGACTTCAAGGCTGGAGACGATGGGGATGTGATGAGTATGATCTGAAAAGAAAAAATGAAATTTGACAGGCATGGATTATTTAAGGCATGCATGTGTGAACCTAGCAGCCGCTCCACTTTGATGCAAATGGTAGGGGAAAGAGCCGGGGGATGGTGTGTAGAGAAAGGTGCTGAACAAAGTAAGGATTTCCTGCTGGCGACTTGAAATTTAAACAAATAATCATTTAAATGGCGGCCCGGCATTACGTTCCGAGTTCTGTGCATTAATGTCAACATCTGGTACCAACATTTTGACAATTCTATTAAAATGCCCCAGCATTCCCTATCTAACACCTGTTAGCTCTAATTTTCTTTCCTGAGAAGCACACCAGTAGACAGGGTAGATTCCAAATCATTTATCACTTTTAAAGTGCTTCCATATGCGTGCTGGACCCAGCCTGGCCCTAGGCAAACGTTTTCTGAATGCATTAAAATTCAGGACTATTTTGTTTTAAGTGTAGACACCAATGTTTCATTGAATTCATGTCTGGTAATTATTAGCTTAAATTATGGCTCACACATGACTTGACAAAGTGGACCATGAATTAAAACGCGCACGCACTCACACACACACACCCACACACACACACACACACACACCCAGAACTCTTCAATAGATGCACCCAACTCCTGGTTATTGAGCTGTCAGTCAGTAATCATTAGGCAAACACTCTTCATGCAGGGAACTGCTAAGAGGCCCAGGAGTCCCAGGAGAGGATCTAAAAATGTCAAAAATGTTACAGTATAAATGAATGACACCAACAAGAGAACATGTGTTGGAGATGCAAGCAATTAGTTAATATATTACAACTTTCAACCTCTGAGCAAAACAGGCAACCAAAATTTCCTCTTGACAAAAAGCTACAGATAAGATCAAGCCATCAGCTTGATTCCCACACAATGCAATCGATAGTCCTGAACTAGAGCGACCCTCCAGGAGCCTGGGAGGCAGGGAGGGCCAGGGATTCTGGGGTCTGCCGGGTCTGCGCCCCAAGGGGTGTAGGTCCTGCCTTGCCTGGAGATGGCTGGCTTGTCTGCTGGGCTCTGCAAGTGGAGAAGTCTGGGGCCCACTGGATCCCGGTCACAAAGCTGGCTGCCTGCTACTTGCTGGAGCTTTCAAATGAAATTTAGAAGGTACACTGAAATTTCATTGCTGATTTCAAAGGGAAGAAGGTACTGGCAAAGGGTGGCAAGGGTGGGACTACCGTGTGGACAAATGCTTGTTCATTGCTTTTCAGAGGAGATTTTTATAACTAAATATTGTGTATTGTTTAATTCTTTCTCCCTCTCTCTTTCTCCACACACACACACACACACAGAAAATATGTTTCAAGCAAAAATACGCATGATGCACACTTTAGGCTGAGGGTTTGAATCGGTCCCTTAGAAGCAGTGAGGAAACCCTGAGAATGCCCGAAAGAAGGGAAGAAAGCCTGAGTTCCCCAACTCCAAATGTAAAAACAATTTTGTAGACAGTTAAAGATGTCTGCCTCGGTATACACGCACACCTACACTTTCACACTTCCTCTGTTTACTAAATAACATTTCAGCACAGTTTTCATCTTATAAGGAAAGTGTTTGAAACTTGGAATAAGTGCACTTAATTAAAGGAAGGCTGTGAAAATGTGCACTAATCTGATATGACTAATAGCAAAGTGCATGAAATTGCTAATTAGAATTTCATTAAAGGTGCTGCTTTATCAGACTGTGAATATCACAACCTTTAAAATTCTTTCAGGAGAGCTTAATTCCTTTTCAAACAGAAATATTCTTTAAAGACATTTGATTTGTTCTGAAGGAATTCACGACTCGGGCTGGAACTTAAAATGTTGCCGATATCACAGGGAGTCACATCAGAACAGGAATTTACATCCGGGACATTGTTTCCTTTGCCCGATGAATCCCTTTCTCTCTGGGTTATTGTTCAAAACACAGTCATGAAAATAGAGTCCAGTCCTTGGTTTGTGCCACATGTAATTTGTTTTCTCCTAAGGCAAAATGTTTATTCTCTCTGGAAAGAAAAAAGAAAAAAATTACTTGAAAATTTAAAGTCACTAAACATGCATTCCAAAAAATAAAAGGGAACAGACAAAACAATTTTAAAGGAAAAGACTGCTTATTTTTTTAAAAATCAGCTGGCAGCCTATACTCCTGTACTTTTTTTCAAAATTAACATCTTAAAATACTAATAACATTTCACTCAGAAGACTGCACTTTTTAAAATAGCAAATGCATTTTTACTTCACTGACTTGCTTTCCTAGGTCACAGGGTTTTCTTATGTCACATTTTAATCATTCCCTGCATTAAATCTGCATTTTAGCTTGTTCTTTACCAGTCAAGCTTTTAAAATTCTACCTCTCTATTTTTCATCTCTTCTACTTGCAGCCTTATTTCGGTCACTTGTCTTTACTGTGACAGGCACGAAGTTGCTATGGCATGTCCCTGCCCCTGCATACCGCTCCCAATGTTACCAGTTGTGGTTTTTTTATTTGCTGTTTTTCCTTGTTGTTCAAGTTCTCACAATTAGTAACTTTTTAAAAATATCCCAGCTTGATTGCACAGTTACATTTTGTTACTGAAAAACCATTAATGTTCATGGAAACTACAGCTCACTCAAAGCAGCCGTTTGCTTTTACAGAAGTTGTTAAAAAAAAAAACCAGCCTGGCTTCAAATTTGCTGAACACATCAGTGAATGGTGATGTAATTTTGCAGAACTGAAATTTTAAATACGCTTTAAAAAAACTTGGTTTAAAAGCTAATCAGTCATATTTACCTGACAACTCTATCTAAAAGGGGAGAAAATGAGAACAGAAGTAACTTTATTTGAGGCACGGTGTGATTTCTTCGGTCATTTACACAAATCTCAAGTGAGTTAATTAGAGTTTGCTCTGCGTTTAGATCCAGCACGAGGAATTTTTCGTGGCGTTTAGATAATTTATCAGCTGGGCTAGGTAACAGATAAAAGATTGTTTTCCTTCCCAACTTTGGGGAGGTATATTTCTACAATGAATGGGATGATTTTGCAAGATCGGTCTAGACTTAAATGAGTGAAAATTAGGCTCGTTAACTGGTGTGTCTGCAGTCCGGGGTGGGGTGCCCGTCTATCTGTGGGCCACCGCAGCCCAACAAAGCTGCTAATTCGAATGTTTTAAGTTTCAAATGGGGAAATATTGTTCTAAGATGGCAACAATGGGGCTGTTGTCCCTTCAAGCACTCTGCTGATGGCAGACTCCTCGCGCTGGTTTTATGCAAAACGAATGGCAGGTAATTGTGATTTAATTCTTTTCAAGTAAATTACAGTGAGTGCGTGACACAAAGCCGCCCCGGACCCTCCTTTCTCTGTCAATACTTGAATTAATGATGGCAGGAGTAAAAACAGCAATTGTGCACAACAGCCCTTCCCCGGACCCCTCCCCGGCCAAGGAGGGCGGGGGGAGGGGGTGCTGCCAATCAGGCCGCGCCTCCTCCAGGGGGCTGGGAGCAGTCACCCATATTCGGAACGGAACGTCCGGAGGTTCGCCGCTCCGGGGTCGGGGAGCCTGCCGGCCGCCAGGAGCCGAGGTGCCCGCAGGGGTCACAGCCTGCGCGCTACCGCCCGGGTGGCTCCCGCGTGGTCACGGTGGTCACTTGAGGCTTACGGAGCTGGACATGCGCGGCCGGGTTGACTGCAGTTACGGGCTGGTGGTCCAGCGGCGCGCCTGCAGTCCCAGGGACCCCGAGACCAGGGCCTCTTCGCGCTCAGAGAGCCGGTTCTCACCCCCAAACCCGAGAAGCCCGGGTGGAAAGGGAGACGCTGGAGGAGGCCCGAGGGGCGAGTGGGGAAGGCGGAGGTCGCCTGAGAGGGGCGCGTGTCTCAGGTCCGCAGCAGAACACTTCCCGTGGCACTTCAACAAAATCCCAACTCCTTGCACAGAAGCTGTGTCCTCTGGCCTTTGCCTGGGATCTGCTGGGGGTGGGGGTGGGGGGAGGGTCTAAATCCGGAATGCCGGAGATGGACTCCAGCCTGCCCTGCCCTCACTGGGTGTCTTGGGCAGGGGTCACGGGTGGGTTCCTTAATCCTTCTGGCCTCAGTTTCCACAACTATAAATGCAGTTAATAATGGAACCCGACCTTCAAGGGTCCTTATGGATATTTACCGTATTTCGCTGTGTATAATGTGCATCCACGGTTTTGTGCTTATTATATACACAGATTATTATACCCATGTATAAGGCTCATCCTTATTTTTCCCTCAAAAGTTGGGGCCCAAAAGTGTGCACAATAAGCTATTTGTAAAATAAAATCAAATTTTAAAAAGCGTAGAACGGAGCCTGGCACCAGGTGCCCAGTAAACGTGAGCATGGCTCACGCACTCCGCCTCAGCCCAGCTCCTGTCCCCCTTCCCTGGGCCTCCCTGAATGCGTCCCGGCCTCGGGGCCTTTGCACGTGCAGCCAGAGCTTTCACCCAGCGCTTCCACTCTGCTCCCGGCCTCCCCTTTGGGCCTCAGCGCTGCCTGCCGTCACCGTCACCCCAGAGAGGGCTCCACAACACCCGACCGTCCCGCCCACCGCTGTCACAAAGCTCTCTGTTTTCTCCCTGATATTTATCCTGATCGGAATGCTTTTCCTTATTTGTTTTGCATTTATTGTCTGTCTCCTCCTCCCCAGAATGCAAGTTTCTGAGGCGGGAGCCCCAGCACGTGATCGGGGCGTGCTCTGCGGCAGGAGCTCGGTGATCGAGGGCAGGAGAATGCACGAACGGAGTCGCTTCTGCTGGCTAATGGGCCGAGCCGTGGGACTGCGTGACCTCTGAGTGATTGTCAGGTTCTGTCGTTCAAGGTAATGGGTGCAACTGTCACCATGGAATTATACTTCCAAAAAATTCATAAAGGACAGTTTTCTAAAGAGATCTGGGTTCTCAAGAAGGGTGCGGACAAAGACTTTCCTCTCCGGAGCAGTTTTGACCCTGAAGCTGGCGTCCATCTCTGCGAGAGCTCTCCCGTGGCTCCCTGGGAGCTGACGGAGCACCCTCTGGATTTCCTCCCTCGCTGAGGGTTGTGCTGGCTCTGGGCTGGCTGGGGCCCAGGACGCCTGGAGACGTCCCCCCCACAGCACGACAATGTCCACCTTGATGCTACCTGCCCTTCGATGTCCCCCACCCCCCTCTGGTGTCTACCTCCTGTGACAGTGGCCCTTTTGTCCTCAATCTCCCTGACCAGAGCTTTCCTGCTCCTTTGATTTCTCCTCTTTGGCATTAATCAGAGCTTCACACCTGCTTTTCCTCCTCCCCAGAGCCAGCTGCTTCAGACTGGCTCCTGCTGGGCTCGCCAGACCATCCCAAGGAGCCGGAGAGGCTGGGTGAGGCTGCCTCAGCGGCTCAACTCCTGTTGGGGAGCGGAGTCAATTGGCCAGGGTCACTGTGTCTCCATGCCCTGGCGGAGCCAGGGACAGAGTATTTTTGGAAGGGCTGGCCTGGGTCCCCATCTCACACTCTTTATTTACTCAGTGAGATCATTATAAACAACAAGTATCTCGGACACCGTGACCATCCTTGGTGGCCAACTCCCGTCCCGGGGTCCTATCTTTAGGAGCAAATGTGAAGACCTCTGTCTATCAAGAGAATAAGAAATAAAAAGTCCTCAAGTCACTCATGTATCCCACACCGGTGGCTCAGCACCACGGGACCAGGCACAGTGGCAGGTGCCGAGGACATAGAAGCAGCAGCGGCTGGCATCGTTTGGCACTTCCCGTGTGCCAGCAACTGTCCTGGGGGTTTCACGTGTGTTACATCACTTAAGGAGACATTCACGTCTTTATGACAGAGGTTCTATTCTTATCTCCATTTATGCAGGAGCAGACAGGCTCAGAGAGGACACAGGGCTTACCACCGTTCCACAGCCAGGAAGGGACGAGGTCTGATCTTGGAACCAGCGCCTACCCATTCTGACCGCCGCACCGCGCTAGCCCTCCGTTTTCGTCTCCTAGATGGAAAAGATGCAGGCGCGGCTCCCTGGCACCCCCAGCATCAGACGCAGACAGAGGTGGGTGGATGGGGGTGGCTCCCTGTGCAGTAGTGACATGTAGTGGTTCTTACTGTACACGGGCCTCTTCCTATCTGCTCCCCCCATACCATGAGGTCTTCCAATCCTCACAGCACCCTAGGAGGTGGGAAGGCTCGTCACCCCCATTTTATAGACAAGACACAGAGAGGCCTAGCAGCTTGTCCAAGGTGTCAGGGCTGGTAAGTGGCAGAGCTGGGGTCGGAACCTGCAGGGCCTCACTCCAGGGCCCATGCTCTCATCCCAACCCTGTGTAAGGCCTCTGTCTGATAGTGCTGGCGCCCATGTGCCAGTCCTTGGGCGCCCAGGGGTGCTGAGTCCCTCTGGTGCCACCCACAGCATGCCGCGATGTGCCCCAGAGCTGCTGCTCATGTGCTCGAGCCCTGGGGGAGTCTCTATGTCCTTGTCCGTAAAGTGGGCAAAATGAGGTCAGCTCTACCTGCCTCCCAGGAGGACCGTGTGCACCGCCAAGCTCAGAAACACTCACTTTCATGGGTGCTGGTCTGCGCCGGACACTATGGTAGGGGAGAGAGACAGGTGACTGATTCACCTTAAAGATCAAGGTACACAGCCCATGAAAAATGAAGAGGTGATTATTTTAATTGCAAAACAAACAGCTACAAATGAAGTGTCTCATGTGGTGATACAGAATATTAGAGAATTGAGTCTGTTCCTTTTGTCGGGGGGGCTTTTTCTAAGAGGATTGTATTTGAAAGCCCCTGGGCCAACACTCTGATGGCCTCACGGCAAGGCCTGGTGCTGGGTGCTTTGTGTGCTCAAGCCCCACTGGGCAGCCCTGGGAGGCAAGACTGGCATTGTACCCATTTTACAGGCCGGGAAACTGAGAGGCTAATGAACGGAGGAGCTGGGCTCCGAAGCAAGTCCAGCTGGCTCGAGTCCTGGCATCTGTGCTGCACGCCGCTCTGCGTGGTCCTGACGCAGACCCGGCGCACGGGGCTGTGCCTCTTCTGTTCCGGTTCCGACCTTGTGTCTCTTCTTCGTCTGCGTGTCCCTCTCCCTCAGCCTTGGTGCTTTCACATCCTCCACCCCCTCCTCAGTCTTGGGGTCCACCACCCACAGAATACCTCTCTGCTGAGTGCCCGAGGGTGATTCTATACTCTCTCCACCCCACCCACCCTCCCACCAACGTGCTGCTTTTAAGAACATGAGGTCAACCCCTTGGCTTTGCGCCAGGCGCAAGGCGAGGAGACATGATCCCCCATCCCCGGCACCTCACTCCAGGGAGGCAATGCTTTCACAAGCCAGGTAGCGTGAGCACGGGCCATGTTGTCTTGGTTCCCCTCCCCGTTCACTCCAGGCCTGCTTCTGGCCCCAGGAGCTGCATTTCTTCTGGCTCAAACGACAGAGTGGCCAGAGACAGTAAACATCTGCCTTCATGAAGCCATCAGGTCGATTGAATGGGGATGTGAAGGGAATGTCAGCTTCCCGTGGGCTTGGAGTGCCCACCCTGCCTGGGCTGGTGGGCTCTGCTCCAAGGTCGCAAGTGGCTGGTGACTCTAGTGGTGTGTCAGCATGCCTTTGGGAGGAGCCTTGCCATCAGACCATGACTCCTGAGCAGGAGGGGCAACCTAGGCTGTGTAGTGGGGGCATGAGGATGAGGGAGACACATTCCCTCTTCGCCTTGATCTCATGGGGAGCCAAGGGCAACTGGGTGCTGAATGAGTGTGTGCGTGGGAGTCAGGGCATAGCCATGGGGGTGGAGTCCCTGATCTCCCACTTACTGGCTGTGGGGCCTTGGCCAGATTACATACCTTCCCTGTGCTTCTATTTCTTCACCCGTAACGCTGAGGTTGTAGCTGGATGTAGCTCATAGGGTTATCAAGAGGAGGTAATTCTTCAATATGTGGAAAAGCATTTTGAATGGTATCTAGTGCAGAGTAAGCATTCAGTTAATATCAGCTGACCCTAAAATATGAGCTCAAGATTATCTTCTCCATTCACATTTGCCTCCCTAATCAAAATATGTCACATGCAAAAGTTGCACCACTTTAAAGAGTGCCTTTAAAGCTGCAGGTGGACAAGCAACAACCGGACATGTGTTGTGGGCTTCTCCACCCGCTACAATGGGATCCTTTGTAGGTGCCTTAGTCTCGGGAGCTTCAGAGTCCTTCTTTATATAATGGATATAAAATGAAAAATTGAGCCCTGGCTGGTGTGGCTCAGTGGATTGGGTGCTGAACTGCAAAGCAAAGGGTCATTGGTTTGATTCCCAGTCAGGGCACATGCCTGGGTTGCAGGCCCGGACCCCAGTAGAGGGCGCATGAGAGGCAACCACACATTGATATTTCTCTCCCTCTTTTTCTCCCTCCCTTCCCCTCTCTCTAAAAATAAATGAATAAAGTCTTTAAAACAAATTGAATAGCAAGGGTTAAGTGAATAATGTATATAAAACTAATGATATTTAGCATTCTTTTTTGCCCCCTGCCCTTTTTTCCCTTCTGTAAAAGTCCTTTTGAAAAACTCTGAGATGTGTTCTCCAAATCAGTTTTCTTTTCCTCCTGGGTACACAGAGAGACTGACTACATTTCCCAACATTCTTTGTGGTCACGGGACCCATGTGACTGAATTCTGACCAATGGAGTATGGGCAGGAGTAACGTATGCCTGGCCTCTAAAATTTCTTGTCAGATCTTTTATACTCATTTTCCCTTCCACCCACCAACTGAATGTCAATGCTCAGGGTAACTGTGGACTCCACGTGTTGAAGATGTGGAGCCCTGGCCAGGAGAACCCTTCTCTTCATTCCCTATTTCCTATTGGTCTGCTGGGGCTGGGACACAGTATATTAGGGCTTATTTGTTACTGCAGCTAGCAGTTAGCCTATCCACACATATGCAGAATTTTATACAACCTCTGTCTACCCAGTGTATACATCTGCATACATTCATGCGGGATTTTGCACATATTTCAGAGTCTTCCTGTTCCACTCCCCCACCCCCCAGGCCCCTTAAGCTCATTTATGTAACTCCAGGTGGGATCTTACTGCCTTCAAGAACCTGACCCATCAGTTGTCATTGGTGGTGGTGAGATAGTTTCTGAAAGCAACTTTCCGGCCCCCCTGGAGCAGGGAGGCTCTGAAGACAACTTCTAACCTAGGGAATGTTACTGACAGCTTCTCCTCTCAGAGCTTTGAGGTCTCCGAAGAAGGCGTCACTTAATTACACAGACCCTCTCCTCCAGGCTGGTGTTGCCACATGCCTGCTCTCATCCTCGAGGCGCGGCCTGCAGATCCGATGGATGGCAGGTCACAGGATCAGGCGGCAGCTCTTCTCAGCTGCACCCTGGAGACATCGCTCAGGCCCTGATGCAGCCCAGCCCCCTCCTTCTCCCTTCAGCGATGTGGGCTCTCTAGGCTCCGCCTCCCCATTAAAGCAAGCGCCCCCTAGAGGTCGGAGCTGTGCTGTCTCCATCCCCTTTTTTTTTTCCTCAGAGCCTGCTGCAGGGTTGGGGTGCAGACACTGTTTGGTTTGCTCAGGGCTGTGGATTTCAGGGGTCAGGGTGTCCTGGGAAAATAAAAATCCTCACTTGGGTGAGTTTTATATTAATTAAAAACAATAATGACCTTACTATATTGGATATCTGTTCTGTTCAGACCTTTCTGTTATTTTATCCAATCCTTCTCCATGACCCTACGAGGTGGGTTTTAAGTAGCCCATGTTCCTGGTGCAGGATGTCCGGCCCAGGGTGCCCGAGCCCCATGGGGAGGATGGGAGACGCCAGCCGGGGGCCGATTCAATGGTAGTAACAGCTAACTCTTCCTGACCCCTCCATGTGTGCTGGGGACCATGTCTCCTGAGTGTTTTTGATGAATGATTTCATTTAATTTGGATAATTTCCTTATGGATTGGGGATCACCACTATTCCCACTGTCCGGGTGAGAAAGCTAAGGGGCAGTGAGGTGAAGTAACCGCGTCCCCAAGGTTTCATGGTTAAAAGAGGTGGTGCCCACTTCAATTCATATTGAAGTCTCTCTTCCTTCGGAGCTTCCGTTTTCCCTCCCTCAGCACTTTGCTCCACCCCCTCCTGCCCCCGGGAAAGTGCAGTAGGGACCAGCGAGTTCCTCCCCCAGGGTGTCGCTTTTGGTGGGGAGCTACCCTGCGGTCAGGTTGACAGCTTGCTTGAGTCAGCACCTACCACATGCGTGCGTGCAAAGTCTGGCCCCACGCCCCGCTCCGACACAAAGGAAGCCCAGACTGTCCCAAGGTGTTGGCGTCCTGGTAGAGAAGGGAGCTGTGCACCTGTGCCTGCCACCTGCGTAAGTCAGTGCTGCGGCACCGGCAGATGCTGTAGACCTCAGAGGAGAGAGAGGCCACCCAGGTCGGGGCAGGGCTAGCTTTACCGAGGATGGGGATGGGCGATGAGCCTTGTCTACCTGGGTTTGAATCCCAGCTAGCTGGGTGACCTTGGGGAAGTTGCCTAACTTCTCTGAACCTCAGTTTTGCCATGTACAAAATGGAGATAATAAAGGCACCTAGCTCATAGGATTATTAGGAGGATTAAACAATAACACGTAAAGTGCTTGGGACATCAGAAGCTCTATATGATATACTTATTTACTTTTTTCATAATCAAGCATTGGTAGATGTTCAATACGTGAGAAGGGAGACATAATGCATTGAGAGAATGCCATGAGTAAAACTTGAGAGTTGAGAAAAGAGAGGGTTTGTTTGTTTGTTTGTTTGTTTGTTTTCAGAATAATAAGGAGCTCCGTTTGGCTTGCTCAGATGGGAGCACTAGCAGATGAGGCTAGAAAGAGAGGCTGGCGCCAGGTGGAGGAGTATATACTTAACTCAGCCGGCAGTGGGGAGCCATGGAGGGTGTCTGAGCAGGACAGTGTCACAGCCAGAGTCGGGCTTTAGGAAGATCCTTCTGGCCACAGGGTAGG